TCATGAAGAACCCACGGAAGTCCTCTTTCAAACGCGATAAGAGAAAGTCCACTACGTCCCCGGTTTTCCAGCAGCCAGGATTGAGGGACCGAGCACATGAGGTACCCCAAGTCCTATCTTACGTTGCATTGCTGGTTCTCACGGTGCTGTAGACCTCAATTGCGGATGACGCAGCGTCCACTACGACCTCTCGTGGACGGAGACGGCTAGATACGACTGATGACCCATTCTTCAGCGATAGCGACAGCGAGAGACGCACGACAGCAAGTCCAACGAACAGCGACTCCCGACCTCGACGGACATTCGACAGTGAACGACCCATCATCCACAGCGACTCTCCTTCGTCTCAAAACGGTATTTACATATCACAGAGACCCAGTATAACCGGCTCCGACCTTCCTGAAGACCTGCGGCGTCGAGCATCGAGAACAGCGAGTATTGTGGTGCCGAGCGGGGAGGGGTTCATCAGGCGGTTGAAGCCAACTTTGGTGCTGCAGAATTCTGGCAGCGTTGCGAGAGACCATTTGGCTAGTGAGAGGACATTTCTTGCGTATGTTAGGACGAGTCTGGCTATTGCGAGCTCTGGGGTTGGTGAGTAGTATACGTCATACTCATGCTCGTTCAGACTTCTTACTCGGGTATGCAGGGCTTGTGCAGCTATTCTCACTGTCAGGCGATACCTCCGGGAGGGTACTGGGGATAGTACAGCGCAGTGCACCGGAGCTAGGCGCAACACTTGTTGGATTCGGTATCGCCGTGTTATTCGTCGGTCAGTCGGCTTCACTTTTGTCGTTATCGCGGTACTCAAGGTCGATGGCACTCATGTCTCCATCTTTACAGGTATCACTCGCTACTTCACCGTCCAATCTGCGCTTACCCAAGGCAACTTCCCCGTCGCCCGCCTAGTGGTCCTAGCGATCTCATCCGTACTTATCGTACTCACCACCGTCGTCTTCGCCGTTCTCTTAGCTGGGAGGATCGCCACTAGAGAGGCTTGAGACCATTCGATCGTCAGCTGCTCGCATCCGCATGCTTTTCTTTGCTCTGTACTCTGCTTTTCTGTGTCGGACTCTGGATTTCTCGTCTCGTTTACCGGTGATAGGTGTGAAACCTACCTCCCTCACGTATACCACACTCTCTACTACTTCATATCATCTGTAGGACAACTTGTACAGACTTTTGTTGTACAGAACTTATATTCCCAACCTCGAAAGCTGCGCTCATGTCCCTCACACACAATAACGTCTCTGACTCAAACCGCCTCCGTCATCCTCACCGACCCCTTCATCCCTTCTTCGACGTCCGACATCATATATGTACCCTCCGGATTGATTCGACTGTCCACGAAGCTACTATCACCTCCACGGTGGTCGTCCTGGCGGAAAGCGATAGCGCTGACCGTCTTCTCCTCTCTCCTTCCTCGAGGCGAATCAGCGTCGGACCCCATGTCGAGTGTGTCGGCGATTGAGTAGCCGTAGTGGATGATGAGGATGAGGGTGGGGGTGTACATCGCCTGTGTGTAGATCACGCAGCATGGGTACCTAAGAGAAGAATCGCTCTATTGAACCGCTTATCGTGACCATCGTTGTCGCCCTCCCGAACGTCATATTCGCGGTGTCGAGCGGTCCGTAAGGGACAGTGGAAGGGACAATGCTGACGGTTAGAGCTAGGCGGATTATCTAGACGTGTTGTTGGTTAGTGTTCCAAGAGGGGTAAGACGTGAAGGTGGAGTACCTGGATAAGCACGTATACAATTCCGGATTCAGCGAGTAGGACGAGGATCCTGGCGCCGTGCATTGTCACGCCAGATTGGGATTGCAGAACAAGGTGTTCACTGTGTCGTGCATATCAGCTCTCAGCCCGAGCTCTCCACACAGAGAAGTTGATAATGGATATACTTACCAGGCGGCGAACGCGATCATGGAAGTAGCCATAAGGTTAGCTGCGATGCTGACGCTGGAGTTGGTGATGGTGACGATGGCGTAGGGGGTGGAGTTGGATGTTGTGCCTGCGTCATTGAATCGTGTGGTGAGGATGACGAAGGCGATCCAGAAGCCTATGCTCATGCAGTAGTAGTTCAGTAAGATACTCTAGATAGCGTGGGCGACGCACCAAAGGTCGTGAACACCAGGAAGTAGAGCACAATGCCCAAAACGCGTCTCGAGCCAGAACGCCACACCGACATGGCGCGCCATGCAGCGAGGACGTCGTTAATGAGGAACTGTAATGCACAGTCAAGACAACCATCAGCTTTTTTCTGATAGCTTAGCCACCCGAGCACCTAGCGAAGGGTCTTTCGAAGTATTGCGATAGCTTCGGAGAAAGTGCCTGGTGAAGCAATGGTGAACTGTTCCAGTCTTGGTTCCAGTGGTGAGAACACGGCAGATCGTTGTTCAGCGGATGCGACGACGACGTCCTTGGCAACTACGCATCACGGATTGCGGTGCAAAATTTGGGTGCCTGTCGAGTCCTCGACTGGAGGCGATGCTCTTGCATGCATGGTCGATGCCTTTGATGATGTCAACAAGATGCAAATGCCCTGGTAGCACACGCCGTCGCGCCGACTATGCGCATGTTGGAGTGGAGGGTATCAAACGTGCCAAGCCAAACCGCAGCGCTCAAGTAGGCGGCCCGATCACGACGCTGCGTTCCCCACATATTGCGATGCATCTCTTCTCCTCCCTCATCCTCCTCCCAGCCCTCTGCCATGCTCTCCCCAGTGGCAGAGACAGCAGCTCCTCCGATACCCAGTATACCACCTCTGCAGCAGAGAAGACGCTTAACCCATACCCCGACCACCGCGTTCTCGCCTTCCGCAACTCATCAACCGAGGGAGAGTATAACTTCAGGCTTACCGTGTTCTCGGACGTCCACTTTGGCGAGAACCCATGGGACGCTTGGGGACTTGAGCAGGATAGGAAGAGCTTGGCGCTCATGAGGGAGGTGCTCGAGAAGGATGAAGAGGCGATCGACTATGTGGTGTTGAACGGCGATTTGATCACGGGAGAGAGTGCGTATCACTTCCGTTGTGCTAGAGGGAACAGAAGCTGACCGGACGGTGTAGATACCTTCAGAGAGAACTCGACCGATCTGATCAACCAGCTCTTGACTCCGTTCATCGAGCATGGTGTACCGTTCTCTACCACACATGGTGTACGTTCTTCTCATCCTTCTGGCTTCTGGCTTTAACTCACACGTCTCCACAGAACCACGACAACCAGCCCAACATCACACACGCTGCGGAGATCGAGCGCGAGCTCTCCATTGCCCCAACTCAGAGCTTCACCCGCATTGGGGATGCAGACGTCGGCGGCGTTGGAGGGCCAGGAAACTACTGGGTGCCTGTACGTGACGCGCTTTGCACCTCTCATATCAGTTGTAACGCATGTTATGTCTCTCGCAGGTCTACCTACACGAATCCGGTACTTCTTCTTCCCCCAACCACATCAGTTCATGCCATACTGAGATGTGTACCTCATAGACCCCACCCCGATCCTCGTGCTCTGGTTCTTCGACTCCCGCGGCGGCTTCTCCACCACCCCCGGCCAAGCCATCGACGACTGGGTAGACGACTCCGTCGCAAAGTGGATCGAGACCGAGTCTGCGAAGATGAACGAGGCGTGGGGTACTGAGGACAGGCACGCGCTCGCGTTCATGCACATTCCTTCGTGAGTACTATTTCTCTCGGGCGGCGAATCTGCAGAGCTGTACACGTGCTGACGAACATGCGTCTAGGCATCACATCGAGCAAACCCAAGACGAGCTCGACTCTAGCAAGACGCCCGGGCAGAACGGTACGCGCTCCTTCTCTTTCCACACCACCCATCCTCAACTCATTGCTGAACCTTGTCTTTCAGGTGATTCTCTCGGCCGTGGCTCCACCCAAGACTCCGCCCTCGCCACGCGCGACCAACCCTTCTGGGACTCCCTTAACACCAACGTCAAGAACCTCATCGCCGTCGTCTCAGGACACGACCACGGGAATGAGTGGTGTGCTAGGGAGAGCAGCAAGGACGTTGTGTTCTGCTTTGCTAAGCATTCCGGGTACGTCCAGCCATGATGTTCTATGTTCTATGTAAAGGATGATTCGTCTGACGCTGTCCACTGTAGGTACGGAGGATACAGCCGCACAGGCTGGGGACGAGGCGTCCGTCACTTCGAGCTTACTGTTCAGGAAGGAACGGAGGGTGTGAATGCGGAGACGTGGATCTGGGTGAAGGAGGGTGGGGAGGAGAGGGCAAGGGTGACGCTTGGGGAGGACTATGGACGCTAAGGCCCTACCCTATCGAAGCAGAGTGAAGTTGAATGTACTCTATACATGCTGTCAGTCTTCTACTATGGAGGTCACTGCGATGATACTATGGGAATACTCCAAGGACATCGTCGTTCTTGCCGTCTTCACTGCTGACCAGATTTGGCATGCAGTGATCTGAGCTCGCACGGTTTCACGAGTTCGCTTAGCCTCAATGGCGATGCTTTCGGTACCGCAATATCCATTCGACGAGAACGTTTCAGCAGGCCGAGATTCGTTTCCTCTAGCCCTTCTTTTTGCGCAGGTAGTACGTACTTCGCACCTCCTCGAACCGGTCTTCGGCAGTAGGTCGTGAAGATCAGTTCATCAGTTTACGAATGCTCCTTCTGGAAGAGTGAAATTTGCTGTGATCAGCCTGTCTTTGCCAATGTGGAACCGGACGAGGGAGCTGATGCTTGAGTCTTGACTACCAACTGGATCTGGACGATGGTCGGTGAAGCGCTGACCATGCATACTGGAATGTTCAAATGCAGGACCGACGACAATTGTGATTGGTTAATGACACGACAAAGAATGGAAGAAAGACTGGCATGGATGCTAAGAAGCATCACACACCGAGCTTGAAGCTCGGTCGCCAAGTTCGAACTCGAATCATTACAAAGCTCTACCAAACAAATGAGCGAACTCGAATCATTACAAAGCTCTACCAAACAAATGAAGGACAAAACAATCTGATCGATTTTTCGGATGCATCAAGAGGGAATCGAACCCCCGGCGGGTCGAATGTTGCTGACTCAATGGCAACGACCCAGGTTACCACTACCCCATTGATGCCATGAAAGGGATCTCAAGAGGTTTTATATTATTCTATAATGGTCTTTTCCTGCGTCAGCCTAGCTCTCAAGCTCTTGTCCATCGACATCGACCATTGCTCTGAGACTTCAACAACACTCAGCTGCTTTGACACACGCTGTGAGCACTTCCACCCGTACTTTCAAACTTCTTGCTGCTACAAGAGCACAAGTTTCTACGTCGTCTCTCTGAACATTGGAGTAGGAGTATTTTTGTTAATACTCGAGTATCTGCGCTACGCTAGTGTACGGTCAGCTAGGGTGGTGACGATACTAGTACACCAGCCTCATGATACACGTCTCTACCTCGTCTATCGTGCGTATATGTTGGCTAACTGTTTTCTCCATTGCAGTATACACGTTCATACGCCGAATAAAGAATTACTTACCGCTTCAACTTTGCACCCTCTGTCATTCTCGACGCTCAGCCAGTGATCCAAAGCACCGGCTGCTCCGTTTCGCGGTAATCATCACATGTTGCATTCACATCCCTGTCAAGCTTGCCCTATCGTCTCGAACGTGCGCTACTGCATTCAGTCCTCCTGGCATTATCCCCAGACCTATCCTGACGCTTCGCACCTGACAGGCCCAGGCTAGGGGTGAGGCAGGACAATAGCGCTTTCGCTTCACAAGTCGTCATGGCCCTCCGCCCGCTTCTCAGGCTATCTATATTGCGCTCCCAACCTCGCGCCCAAGCTTCAATGAGAACCGGCCTGCTTCTGAGCAACAGGGGCCATCGCTTTCAGCCTTTCTCCCCCTCCCTAACTGGGACAATGCAACTCGCGCCGTATGTGCGGCTTACACTTAACGGTTATTCATGCCACCGCTTCGACTATTCGGTTGACGGAGAATTGGCTACCCGCTGGGATGACATCGTACGTCGAACCCTTCATATCGATGCATATTGATGGCTATCAGACACGTTTGATCTATTCTGGAGGGTCGACCTACCCGCTAGTATTCCGTTACTTGCACGGCAAGAGGCGTCTTGTAGTAATCTGAAGCATAATGACCTCAAATCCCATTCCCTCTGAGAATGCTCTCTAGATGTGATGTTTGGAAGAAAACGTGGTTTGCAAGCTCTGCCGGAGCACGAGCAACAGCCCTGCATGATGGCGCATCAACACGTGGCCTATGTCGCCCACCGTTGGAGAACCGCGCCCTCAAAAATTGCTCACAAGGCGAAAGACCTTAGCGCAGGTTGTATGCTTATTGCTTCGCACCTTAAAAGTTTCATGTGCTTCGGCTGTATGTTCGTGGTACTTCTCTTTTCTCGAATGACGCGCAAGCACGGTTGACGATATCAACCGAGTGGCAGAGGTATGTTCACACAGGTCTCGCAACCGCTGAGATCTGAGGTAGGATCAATGCATACTCATGAAGCGGATGCTAGAAACCATGTACCAAGTGTATAATCAAGACGAGTCGATTAAAGGCAAGTTTCCAATTGATTTGGTGCGGCCACGAGCGTTGTCATCCTCAGCGATGACAATCGATCACCATCTGAGCTCAAGGGCTGCCTGATAGGCTAGCACAATGATGCTTCTCGCCTCCGCCGTGGACTCCAAAGCACTCAAATTATTCCCCGAGAGGCTTGCAGGGCTGGCGTCTGGCATGAACATTGACGTCCTCCGCGCCAACTCTCACGTTCCTCGTGCACAGGTGAAGACGCCAGGAAGCATCACGCAGAAACTTCGAGGTCGAACAGAGGTACTTCACCATACAAATTCTACATAAAAAACAAAGAACCCGGTCACGACCTCTTCCTAAGAAAGTCTGAAAGATACTGATCCACTGGCTCAGCAGACTCGAGGGACGCAACACATCCGATATAGCCATCAGGCCGAACAACAACGGCAGCTCCTTGTACATCCACTCCGTACGCGTCGTAGGCGTGTCCTCCCTTGGTCTCAGTGACATCGCAGTCATCGATGAATACTCTAAGGGAATCCGTGAGCCGTGATAAGTGAGTACTGAAAAAAACCAAAACGCACTTTGTCCAATGAGACCTCAGCATCGCTGGGACGCCGGTAAACTTGAGGTCGCTCTTCCTCCCAATGGAGATCGTCACAATCTCAAACATCTCCTTCCACTCGTTCCCAGCAAAGCTCTCCAGGACTATCGTCAGCTCCCGCGCAAACGTCTCCACGACGGCAAATTGATCTTCGTTCGACAGATCGCCCAAGAAGAGCAAGAGCTTCAGTTTCGTGTCGGAGACGAGAAGATCTTGAAGCTCGACTGGACGGGAATCAGCGGTGCGTAGAACGGTTTGAGGTGGCATTCGTTCCCCTATGATGAGTCTTGACGCGAAGTGCTGATGCTTCGAGTGTGAAGCGACGATGGGAGATGCAGCGTAGTGTACTCCGATTCCACTCGTAAAACCGCCAAAGGTCTGGAACGCTCTGTGGAAGGAATGACCTTCAGACCGGAAAAGGACATGGTCAGGTTGGGCCGACACGTACTGCATAAAATCGTCGTGAGATACCCCATCGAGGTTGAGTTCTGACTTGGGCTTCCCGGAAAACAGCGTCGAGAACTTTTTGTCAAAGCTAATGAGGTCCTGCGCGTATTGTCGACGCTCGAACTCGTACTGTAAAGCAGGGCGGTCAGAGGTAAATCGGGAATAGAAGATGTTGCGCATAGCTCACTGTTTGTAGGAGAGAGACGTCTGCCCAGCCTCGGAGAACATAGGCTAGTTTCCACGCTGGAAGATTGTATGTGAAAACAAAGCGCGGCTGTGGTGAATCGAAGGATGAATACCTATATTGTGTGTATCATTCATCGAGGCGTTCATTCCCTGGCCTGAACCCTGATTAGAACCTACTGCGAGGTCGATATAGAGGTCACGGAACGCACCTGCTTTGGGGCTATGCGTATGACAAGCGTCTCCTGCAATGAGAACTCGCTCGTGCACAGAGTACTTGGAGGCAACGCGTTGGCCGACTGCGAGAATCTCATCAGCATGTTGCTGAAGCAGAACATTGCCACGAAGCACTCACTGATATACAACGTCCACCAGTCGAACTTCTCCGGCGTCTCAATGCGATACGGATGTAGAGCCCTCCTCGCCGCCTATGCATGCATACAGGATCAGCCACGAAACGCGCTGGACGAACTAGAATGAACCGACCTCTAAGATATCTAACGGACCGATCTTGCTTCTATCCACTCGCCCATCCAGCGTGAGGTTCTCCTTGACCTTCGGGTCTGCCAATTGGATGTATAGCCGGACCTTGTCGCCTTCTCGAGGTATGACCATACACGAGCCTGAGTCCGAGTGGATCACACAGCGGTTGCGAATGTCCGGGAAGTCGGTATCGGGCGTGAAGTCGACGACACCCCAGACGTAGTCTAGATATGATAACCATTAGCAGAGAATTGACTCAACCAGTCGGAAGGAGGACTAGCACACCTGTCTGCTCGCCTTGCATCTCGATACCGAACGTCTTCCGAACCCATGAGTGAGCGCCTGTGATTCGACGTCCATCAGATTTCGTCTTTGTCCTGGAACCGCCGCAGCTCACCGTCCGCTCCGACGACAAACTTCGCGTGTATCACTTCCGCCTGCCTTTCGGGATGGGAATCGTCCGAGTGTTGAACGGTCACCTAGAGCGAAAGGAATCTCAGGACGGCGAGCTCTGTGATAGATGATATAACCCTCGCTTTCTGTACTGACCTTGACGGGATACGCCTGTGGATCGAGTAGTTCTGAGGGATTTGACGATAGCTCCATTCGCGTGGGTACGATGGGTCGTTCGACCTTGACGCCGTAGGTCCGCATGGAGTCAAGGAATATCGACTCGATGGCTCCTTGGTGAAGAGTGACCTTGGGAAAGACCGCGATGAGTACTATAATCGAGCCATTGGAGACGCTGACTTAGTGCTCACCTCGAAGGGGTATCTAGCAGTAGGCGCTGTGACGTCCGGGGCTCTTGCAGTCAACTGGATTCAGTGCATACGTTGGTAAGCTGGCGTTCGTCGTTGCAAACACACGAAAAGTACTCGCCTCAATCCCGCCGTCCTTCCCTGGGTTATAGAACGCCTAGACAGAGAGCGAGTTGACGACTTCCGCGGGTGGAGACAAGGAGAGAGTGTAGTTCGTACAGCCATGTGCATTTGGTTGCCTTCTTGAAGCAATCGATCCGCCAAGCCATAGCTCTATCACAAAGCATGAGAAAGACGCAACGCAACAGAGTCCAGAGGAAGCTCAAATCAGCGTACTTGCAGAACCTCAATTGTCCTTGGTTGGATGCCATCTGGAGCCCACCGAGTATGAGTGACAATGCACCAAGGTGAGCTGAAGTATTACTCACCTGCCTGCCCGGCTGCGATCTTAACTAGTCTCTTATCGATGATTCGCGCGTTCACCCCAGCCTTACCTAACGCATTGGCGCACATAAGTCCGCTGGGTCCAGCTCCGATGATAAGCACGTCGACATTCGATTGAGGCGGCGTTATGTCCATGGAGCTTGTTGGCGAGAAGTTGGAATGAGGTTCTTCGATCCGTGAGCTGGTGCTGCGATCGTTGTGGTTGACCCTGTTGGTGCTGCGCTCTACAGTCGGAGCCTTGTGAGACCACGCGTTGTACCACTTTCCGAACGCCGAGATGGATGACATAGTGTTGTTGTTGGTTGATGGTCGCGCCTTTGCCGCAGTCAGCAGGTACTGGGCTGAATAGGAGAGCTAGTTAGCAAGGAGGCGATGGGGGCAGGAAGGTCGAGATGGAGAGTACTTGATAGGCTGAGCATCAGCGTGCTGGCCTTATGTGTTCAAAGAGCGACCACGACGAAGCGGATTCAACAAACATGACCTCATGTTGGCGGGGATACTTCATTCAAGCACCCGCGCCCGTAGCTTCACACGCCAGGTGACGATCTAAACCACTGCGTTTGCCGGCTGCGCTTACTATGCCAGCCTTCGGTATTCGATAGCCTCAGGAGATGAGCAGTCCACTTACACAACAGTTAGACCTTCGAAAGCAAT